AAAAGATATGTCTGAGTTTTAAATATATTTCCATCTTCTGTTTTGCGTGTGAATCGCTTGACAGCGGTGACACCTTGATGCTTAAGTTCTGCTGCAATCTCTTCTTCAGTCATTTCTGAAAGACATCGTGCTCGATCTCGCACGATACCACGGCTAGAATTCAATGTCCTGTGCACTGAGACAGCAACCTGCGTGTTAACAAACTGCTGGAGACCCAGCAAGTTGATAGATTGCTGTCTCCGTGCACACTCCACAAGTATGGAACCAGAACGAAGACGTGTAACGTTCTTCACTTCACCACAAGTACTTTGGATGCCCTTTGATATGGCAAACGGATTAAGTTTTAAAGGAGTTTCATCGACCGATGCGATAACAATGAATCGAGGCCAAGAATCTGCAACAATAGGCGAAACCTCATCGTCAGACGAAACAGAATCGACATGACGACGTTTGTTTGCTTTGAAAGAACCAGGGGATTTGTTGTGAGACATGGTGTGAGTATGTAATTCGACATCTCTGCTCCCCACCCGCCATCGAGTGTCAACAAGGACGATGCTGCAGAGGAAACCAATCTACAACACCAGGGTTACAAAGGTGTTATACTCAAGCAATATAAACATAGGTAGCTATTTTTGACAAACAGAATTTAAAGTCAGGCTGGTTCGGCCCTTGACAGTAATCTGAAGTCACATAGAACCTAGAGGTTGATATATAGCCAGATTGGCCCATGAGCCACCGCCTTCTGGCGTAAGACTCTAGGCAATTTTTCAATCCAAAATTGATAATTCACACAAGTTATGGACGGCCAAGACCAAAATATACATCAAAATACAACACAGGTGTGCATTTACAATATTACGCACAGGGCCTGGCATGACTAGCCGATTGATAAGACCGGGCCCATCTTACCACCCGTCTAGGCGAAGTAAGGGTCGAAGTAGTGTGTTGGGCAAAGGAACACAGTTCCAGGAACCAGTGCCCTCAACTACCAGACTCCCGTCCTCCGCCGACACAGGGACGCAACCCACGGCAAACGGGCTGCCCACTTTGGTCGCCTCTTACGACCAGCAATGGGGTGCTGTGGAAATATTCTACCCCGGTTCCACACGGGGGAAGAGCTATTAGCGCTACCCAGCACTCACCACGAGGAGGTTGCTCTTCACGAGTGCCTGTATTGGGAAGAAGGAGACCAGTGACATTATGGTGAGTACATCTTATTTGATGCAAACAATTATACTATTTATAATATCATGATAAAACTTGCATATTAATAATATATTGCATGGATATGAAATAAAATATTGTGACTATAGAATAATAGTGGTGAAACGATGCGTCGATGGATCATGAGTTTTAATGCGACGACACAATATATGATACGGTTTTATTCTGTATCGATACAAGACGATACACTTGCTGACATAAATTACTTAATACTTGTTTAATGACAACCCAGCAATTTTGTCAGTCAACTATCTCAAAATGTGTTGTAATTAGCGTTTCAAGTTCACTACTAAAATAGCCGACAAGAATGTGTCTACAGCTAGCTTTTCCTCTTGATCTTGCATTGCTCTGATATATTTATAGTCAAGAACTTAACACGTGATTTGATGTAAATATGTGTATCTTACTGCGACCTTGCTGTATCATTTCACCCCAGTGTAGTAATATATAATGCACCATAGACAGTTGTCATGAAGCTGAATTTAAATATCATTGTTTGATGACACCTACTCATGATAGGTGACAATTATCAATTCAATTTATCATGCAAAATTATTTACTCAACAATTGTATATATCCCCCATTTTTCTTGAACTCACTCCTGGCCTCTTTAATAAGCATATACAGTGTATCACTGGGGCGTTGTAAGGTTCTCTAAATGCCGGTGACAAGACAATATTTACATGTTAGACATGTTACACATATCATCAAAAAACACATAGCTTATGAAGCTGAAATTGTTTCATGTCCCCTGAAGCAGCTCACAAACGTCCTGTATGGCTTTTAAACATTGCGACATGTTGCCAATATGTCCACTATGACTGCATTAGGAAAATCTATATACAGTAGGTATATGGTAGTTAAGATCTCAAATCCTTTTTTTTAAGGGATCAATTCCCTCACAACAGCATGGCCATTTCACAGTAGTACAGACGCTTTCCCCCCTCACCAAACAGCTCACAAAGGAAATTGCTGGTCTATGTGGCAAGAATAAGCCTTCCATTTTAAGGAAGAATGATAAGTCCACCATTCTAAATCTTACATGGGATACCATAGTAAGTGAATGGAAAACAAAGGCTCCTTTGTACTGGTCTTTTTTGGAGATTTTTATCTCAAACCCAGCTCTCCAGTTAAACAAATTAAAGGATGCCAAGTCCCTTATTCCTGGCCTCGTGACAGCTGGTTCGAAGCTGATCTCCCTCTACAACTAACAACTGAGCCTGGTGCAACACCTAAACAGCATCATTCTCCTGCAAGGTGGGACCAAGAAGTCCTTGTTCAACCGATTAAATGCCACGCATGATAGTCTCAGCTACAATGCTTCAATTAATCAGGTTGAAAGATTTGCTTCTGACTGGCCAGAGACTATAAAATTGTGGAAAGAGCACTGTGAGCGTGATGGAAGACGTGAGTGTCAGCTACAGGAAAACATAGCTCACACAAGAGGTGAAATATGCTGGAATATGGTGCCACTCCTGAAAGAATCTTCTACCTTGCCGGTGAACAAGAAGCTCTTCTTGTTCACAAAACAAATGCACAAGGGGTACTATTTTGTTGGTGACAATGTTGACTTTTACACACGGGTGCGGCACATGTCATATTTGAGGCAAAATCAGAGCCAGCACATGTTTCAGATGTGTGCCTACAAAAACAGGGTATCGGGCAATAACCTGGATGACACGTCACCAAAGGATGACATCAACACCATTCCGTTTTCAAAATTTCTACCAAATGATGAAGATCGCAGTAAACTCGCCGAGGAATTTGCCTACTTTGTAGCGAAAGCATGGGCACAACACATCCCCAAAGCTTTTCAAAGCTTTGCAGCAGTACTGCCCAAGTTTATTCCCCACGAAAACATCCAGGAAACTAAGAAGAAGACTGAAAGGGAATGTTTTCTATTTACTTACTTCTTTTGTTAAGTTATAAGCGGCCTTCAAAAGCGACTATGCTTGTCGTAAGAGGGGACTAACGGGATCGGGTGGTCAGACTAGAAGACTTATTTGATGCATGCCATCGTATCCCAATTGTGTGGATTGATGCTCATGATGTCAATCACTAGACTGTTCAGTCTGGACTCGATTATTTACAGACCGCCGTCATTCAGCTGGAATATTGCTGAGTGTGGCGACAAAAAAACAAACAAACAGTTGTCTCAGGTTATTCATATTTAAAACATATATTTATTTGTTACAAGTAAGTTTCTATTATATCCTACACACAGTAACAAACTACTATCAAAACACATTAATGAAAGATTGTGTCTGAAACTTATAGACTGGAAATGTATTTCAGATACCACTCGGAGTGCTTAAAAAAACCGAACAATTCAACGACCAGATGACTGACATAGCGGAGTTTCTTCACCAGTTCGTTCCTTGCCACAGTGACCGTTCTCCACCACAGAAGGTGCTCAGCGGAGGGGACTACCTCACCTTTGAGAGGCAGAAACAAGCCCATCATGCACTAGGAGATGGACCTACACCAAGTTCCAGATTACAAGGACTTGTCCCAAAGATGGAAGAGTTCCATAACCAAGCTGAATTTCTAAAGGTATATATAATAACATTCATTTTCTGTAATTGCGATTTAACAACAGAAGGACAGCTAATGTGTGAATTATAAATTGGTTTATTGTTTTGTTGCAAAAGTAACGGACTGGTCTTTGTCTAATACCTGACTACCTGATACTAATGATCACATTTTTTTTTCAGGTTATATGGAAACACTTGTACTCGTCCTCCTCCAACAAGTCTGTTGGCACTCTGCATGCTGCAAGAAACACGATAAATGTGGTGAATGTTACTCAGGATCCTCATGACAACTTTTACCCATGCTCTGAATTGATGGACAAGGTCACCACCGCCTACATCGTAACTGGGGGACTACATCACTTCCAAATGGAACACCTCACTTCTGTCCCAACGGCAATTTACATGGGTGCTGTTGGCAATCCATATGAAATGATTGATTTTTTTCTAGGTCATGCAAAACAGTTTGTAGACAAGCACGTCTTACCGGAGGTTCCAAAACTGCCAGCTCATGGTCTCCAATCAAACACACTAGCCTGCAGGTACTGTGGAAAACTGTACCAGAGACCAAAAGCTTTCGAAAACACGAGGCACGTTTGCATCGACATTCTGATCCGGAATATAATGCTGAAAACAACCAGGATTCCACATCTTCAGCAGAATCAAGATCATCTGTGTATCAGTATACCCGTCTGTCTCCACCAAGGCAGGGTCGACACTAATCATCTCAACGACCTTGACTTGGAGCATTGCAACAGGGCTTTCAAAGATGGTGTACACACATACAAGGGAAGGTACACAGATAAGACAATTCTCAGAGTCAGCAGAAGTGCGCTGTTAATGGCAGAATTATGCAAAAAATATGACAAGTTGACATTCTGCAAGCAAAGTTCGGGAAGGCATGCAGTTGTTGATCCCTCTGGTGATATTCTGAAACTTGTAGAACAATTCAATGCCTTTGCAGCTCTATTCAATGAGGCAACAAGCCACTGCCACAGAGAATTCAAGAACATGCAGGATCCACTGTCCTCACTCAATACGAGTGACATCCAAAATTGGATTTCAGAAAGTCTGAAAGTCTTCAGTAGCTGCACATACTATGACATCTGAACCTTTCAGTCTTTTTCCGATGTGTTATTCAGTGTCACATGACTAAAACGAGACCCTGTTGCAATGTTGCTATCACTGGATGTTTCATGATCTTCATGTTCTGAGTCTGAGTGAGATGATGAGCTATCACTCGAGTCACTGCATGGAGTATTGCATGTACATGAGCCGATGCAGTCACAGAGACACTTGCAAGATATGGCACAGTTGTCACAGCACTTATGCAAAGGTTGAATTTGTTGAGGGTTCTGGTCAAATGACTTCAGTAGCTCAACTCGTCGACATACGTTGGTTCTGACATACTGTTTCATTTCATCCGAAATATTCCGCCTGCCACTGACACACTGTCTACATTTCATGAGAAGAGCATGTGCCTGCTTTTCTGGATCCCTGCCTGCTCGTCCTGTCTCTTGAATATAATCGTCAACATTGTTGGCTGGACCATAGTGGATGACGGTTTCCACACTTTGTAAGTCAAGTCCCATGCTGAATGATGTTGAGCAAAGGACTATCCTCTAGATCTAGAAACCATTTGGATCCATGAAGGACTGGGACACATATTTCTTCACTTCCCTGTTTGTCTTGCTGTGGAACATGTCGAATAAACGATTCTTATGACTGTTAACTCCGTCGTCACTATTGTTTATAAACGCATCATGTTTTAGCTCTGATTTGAGAAAGTCAAAGAGATCACCTATTTGCTTGATTTTGCGGAAAAATATCAGCATCCTTGGTGTTTGTCAATTCCGTTCCCACAACAGGGTAACTAACCATGAAAAATCCTGGCGAATGTTGCCACTGGTTGATATCTGCCAGTACTTGATGTTTTCTTTGTTGGGACTGAGGAGTATTTGTTCACAGCCGGACATACACATTTAATTAATTATCACATCTCGGGTTGACTTGGTTGCAGTCGCTGTTAGTGCAATCACTGGTATTCCTGGAGCTAGTGCCCTGAGTTATTTAAGTGCTCCATACGCTGGTCGAAAGGCCTTTTTATTTCTAATATTCTTTTCACCTTTGTTACACTTGCCGCAGAAAAAATACACAATTAAAGTGAAACTTTAGTCAAGATGAGCATTATGAATGTCTTAAGCTGTTAAGGTTTGATTGTCATTCCTTATTCATACATATTCTGTATGGTGATATGCATGATTGATGTTGAACTTCAATTCAATAATCAGAAGCTTGAAAATTGGCCGATTTCTTTTATGAAATTCAACTCCTTATTAGAATAAGATCAACATATCTATTGAAAAAACAATTGTTGTTAGATGACTATTTTTTGTAACTGATTTATTCAAGATCAACTTTAGTGTTTTAACTTAGCTAATGTTAGCTGTGGATGTATGCATTCCTTTTTCATAAGGGCATGAACATACATAATAAAATGCCTCTACCTGGGACTGCGGCCAAACCCTTGTTTCAAAGCAACAATGTGTCAAGTTCATGATGATTGTAGAAGTTCTTGTATGTATTCATAATGTGACAAACCTACATTTTGAAAAGTTAATATTTGTGCTTTAACTTTGATTTGATGAATATCAAATTAGATATTTAGTCACACACACACACACACTATATCAAGGCAGCCTGTAAACTAGTAATTGATATGCACACCATCCTAGTCATTAAAACATTCACTCGCCATGCCTAAGACCCGAGTTGGATGCCCAACATCGGTACTATGTGTGAAGCCCATTTCTGGTTTCCCCGCCGTGATATTGATGGGATATTGCCAAACGATGCGTAAAACCATGCTCTCTCATTCAACATGCCATGCCTTGACAGACAAAACGAAATACAAAATATAACATTTATACTTACAATTTTGCAATGCAGTGTGCTTCATCAATGAAAAATTGCCTTCAAAATCTTCTCTTTAGTCAGGTCTTGTATGACATCACGCTGTGTTCCAAGAACTGTCTCTGGACTTGCAAATATTATGTCAGTGTCACAAGATTGAATATCCTGAATTGATATTTGGTCCATTACATGTCCAAGATCATCATCATCATCACGAGTAGGGTCATGTTCACCCTTCAAATGAACAGATTTCAATCCAATAGATGAACACTTCTCTGTTTGTTTTGTCATTAGTGCCACCAAGGGTGAAATAACAATCACAGTAGCATGTTTGGAGTTATCAAGTTTCTTAAACACGAATGGTGCTATTTCAAAAGTAAGGGATTTTCCTGTTCCTGTTGGAGAGGACATCCTTTCCTCTGAGGTAACTAACATCACTTGTCTTTGATGATTCCTGAAGTGATCAATATGTAACTGTTGCTTTCCAAACGATACAGCTTCGTCAGTAGCATTACCTTCCATACCAATAGTTATACTTGTAGTTAAATAGAGGGTATACAGCAAACGCTTACAGAAAGCAGCCCACACTTAAAACACAACATCAGTCCTTTGTTCAGTTCGGCAGTGTGTCAGATTCATGATGACCACATGTGTGGAGATCAGCCATCCCAGGTCACCCTGGTAATCCCCTCAGTAAACCCCCCCCCCCCCCCTTTTCCATTTACGCCTTTCCCCCCCCCCCCCCCACCCCCCACCCCACCCCCCACCCCCCCTATTTACGCCTCTCCCCACTGCCCCAGCTGTATATTGTTACAGTAAACCTAGATGGGAGCACTACCAGTGCTTGTGATGAAAGAATCACGGTCAAGCATATCCTGCTTGACTGTTGATTTTACTATTTCAATGAAGGATCTTTTTAATACTATAAGTTGTCATTTAATTATTGGCTTTTTAAAGGAAATAGAGTTGTTTAGTAAATTTTCTTAATTTGTTTTGTATAAAAATAAATGATAGTTTAACATTAGTAGAATAAATTGATATCTGTGAATGTTTGTGGCTGTATCCTCGAAGGGGGTTAACGTCGTGTAAAATTATTGTCCCCCTGAGAGGGTATCGTAAGTCCAAAATATTCAAAATATGTTATTCCTACTATAGTTTTAATAGTAGCATATGTGTTCTTTTAATTTGGCTAAATTTCCCAATAATCACCAAAAGCTGAAGGGATGATGTAAATCCGGCTGGGGTCCATGCTAGTAGCAAAAGTACTGTCAGTCCCCATGGACCCCAGTATGGGGATCTACCTTCAGTTGATGGAGATCGATAGCCTGATTTTATAATGTATTGTTATGTATCGTAGTATCCGTTTTATGATTAAATACTAGTTTTAAATATTTCTCTGTGATATGTCTAGTTATTTTACTGCCCGTCGTTGGCAGGTTTTTATACGCTTCAAAGTATTTATAATCTTTAATCTTGATAGTCATGATATGGCTGAAATATTGCCGATGTGACTTAAAACTTAACCCACTCACTCACTCATTTAATATTTCATGTCGTGGCAAAAATGTGCGTACCATCGAGAGACAGTTGAAGCTATGTCTCAACAAAATCGAAAAATGGTGTCTTGAAAATGGTCTTAAATTTTCCAAAGTTAAGACCAATTGTATCCATTTTTGTAGGAAATACAAGCACCACAAGGATCCAGAGCTATTTTTACTCCTTTGAAGGTTGTAGAAGAGGCCAAGTTCCTGGGTCTCATTGTCGATCATCATTTAACTTTTAAGCCACATATTAATTATCTCAAAACTAAATGCCTGAAGGCTTTAGATTTGTTGAAAGTTGTTGCCAATACAAAGTGGGGAGGTGATCAGACAACCCTCCTCCACTTGTAAAGGTCTCTGTATCCAAGGTACTTTAAACGCCTTAATGACCGGCGGTAATTGTCGTTAATTACCAGGGTGTAGCCAGTCGCGTACCTCTTCTTCTGAACTACGGTAATCCCCTCGTTCTTTGGTGCTGACAGTCAGGGATGAGCGAGAGGTACCAGGTCAGTACCCGAGGGCCTTGGACCTATTACCGTAGTTACTCCAACAAGTACAAAGAGTGATCTTCGTTTAACAGCTTTTATTCCCACTTTGTGTTGCCGGTCAACCCACTCTTTTTGTCACTTAATTATGAGACTTCGGCCGCAAAGCTTCAGTCTCAGTCGAAATGCTGGTGCCTAGGTTTGGTTTCTGGTTCGAAAGATCGTGACAACAAGCCGAGAGCGGAGCACCAGTCCAGATGTAGTCTCCGCAGCCGCTCCTTAGCCGCTACCTCGCCGCTCTCTCGCCGTTCTCTAGCCGTTCTCTCGCCCTTCCTAAGCCGTTTTTCTCGCCGTTTTTGATTTGGGGCTTTTGCCCCTTTTTAAACCGGTACCTACGTCACAGCTCTACTCATTTTTCCATTTATCATTGGTCAACCACCTGTCCCCCCTACACTAGATCATTCTAACCCACTCATATCTAATAACCAGCACCTTATTCAGACTTGTTATGATGTAGCTTCTCACCCTTCTGGAATTCGAACTATTTTCCCCCCAATACCATATATGTCTCAGGTCCCTAACATCTCCGTCCCTCTCATCTCCGTTCCACATTTTATCTACTTCCAATCTGGTTAATCGTTTTTCATTAATGTATAACCCTCGACCTACTACCCTCACCCCTGGTTATTCGTGGCCAAGTATGTTCCCCGTAGTCTTCAGCTATCAGAGTTGCCCGTCTCCTATATATATATATCAATGTCCCCACACTCTGAGATGTTGCCAATTCTCGTTATAATATCTGGTATACATTCCCTCTTATTTCTATGACTTATTGATTTAACTTCCCTTTAATTATCAAAATATGTATTACACTTTCATGCCTATAATACGACAATTACGTAGGTGTCTTAATGAATTGTTAATTACTTTAATTAGTTGTTAATTACTGTACTTTTATGCCTATAATATCTGATCCACTCTAAATTAGATTATGGCTTCATCGTTTATGGTGGAGCCTGTAAGAGCAATTTACAAAAATTAGATTCAATTCACCATCAGGGCCTAAGACTATGTCTTGGCGCATTTCGAACGTCTCCTGTGGATAGCTTACGAGTATATGTAGAAGCTGATGAACCATTGTTGAAGCAACGGCGTATCAAATTATCGCTTCAATACATTGCAAAATTACATTCTAACCCGTTAAACCCTGCATATAACTGTATATTTCAACCCCTTTATGAATAACTTTTTCATAGTAAGCCTAAGCTGGTCCCACCACTAGGCATTCGGATTAAACCCCACATTACAGCTGAAATATTGATTTAGATAATATTTCTCTTTTCAGGCTTCTGTCTTCCCCTCCTTGGCAACTTATCAGACCGGAGGTGGACTTTACTCTTACACAATTTAAAAAATCAGACACAAATCAATTAATATACCAACAAGAATATATACAACTTAGAACTAAATATGAATCCCACCGTTCCATTTTTACAGAAGGATCAAAGGATGGTAGCACAGTTTCCAGTGCTGCTGTCGTTGGATCCAAAACTGTATCATCCCGATTACCAGACCATAGCTCAATTTTCACAACAAAAGCCAAAGCCATTTTGACATCGTTGGAATATATTAAAAAACAATCTAGCAGTACACGGTTCATCAGCTTTTCAGATTCACTT